GAAACAACATCTCAAAACACGAATTGAAGTACACTTTGAAACCTACTTTACATTCATATACTGTTCAGCAGGCGAGCATTCTTGGAATTTAATTGCAAAAGAATTTAATTTTAATTTCGAAGAGAGCGTAGAAGAGAGTTCTTCTGCATATCTTTTTGATTCATAGGAAGAATTACACTTTAGGTTGGGTTTCATTCCTGGATGCACCTGGTATGATGTATCCTTCGTTATCTTCATCAAAATTTCCATGTGATGTATAAATATTTCGAGGACTTTTACTTGTACTTCTCTTTAATAAATTGTACAAACAAATACAAGCTAAAACTAATTAGCTACAGTATTGATTTCCGTAGAACTCTGACAACGGCGCATATTATCCAAAAGCATTTTGAATAATAGGTTATTCTATAACATGATGTGCCTTACATAATCGATAATTAATGATTCGCATTGTGTTTATTTCTTTTTAGTGTTCTACTGGATAAGCTTTCATTAAATGTTTTCCAAAACTTTAAGAATTATTGCCTTTATGATGTTTTGTATATGCAGAAGTTATTATTAGAACATATTGAAATATAAGACGTACACAACCAAAAATATCAGGAACACTAATTAACAAAGACACCACTAGTACTACAAAAGATATCTCTCATTAGGCAAACAGATAGAATCTAATTTTTCAATTTTTAAAAGTAACATACACAATTCCAGTGCATACAACGCACACATTATTAAGCAGAAAAGCGTTTACAAAGCGATTAATCGATTAAAGTTGAATTGCAAATATACTGTTTAACGCTGATAGGATTTATTAAGAATAGGATACTCATCGAGCAAACACATCGTTCCACTCCATCCCCTTCAATTCATTCAGACCATCATTCAAATGAAACTCGAATGCAATCACCTTCTCCATATTCTAACTATCAATTCTATACATTTCAACCTGAATAAAGTTTCACGCAAACCAATGTGTTTTTAAATTCCACTCCAGCTTAGTCATCATCAACATTACATCAACAACATAAATCAAATGGTGCGAATTCAATTAATGATTACATAAACTAACTATGTAAGTTTTACGAATATTAAATAATTAATAGTAGTATTCTCTAAATGTAGTATTCCTTTAGGAATGTTGGCACCAATGTTATTTATTAAATATTCAAAATCTGTAAATTTCTTTTCATAGAAATTTGAAAGAGCCCCTATTTTAAATAAAATAGGTACAGTACTTTCAGGGTAGAATTATGTCTCTGGAAGTGGAGTAATTTAGCATAGATCGTACACGGTGCTACTAAATGCACTGTCAACGGATGTGCCTTTAATATCGATCTTGAGAATTTGTGTTATTCTCGCATGGTAAGCTTGGGAGTGAGACACTTCATCCTCAATTAATATGATGTAAGCGTCGGTTTCTAATCGAAGGATAGTAGATCTTATGTATGCAAACGTCTGTATGCACTTACTGTGTAAGTTTAAACATCATCTTTAGGATACTTTTTACTCTTACCGTATGGTTTTTAATAATACTACTCTCGCTTTTTATGTAGGAAGACATGGTTGTATTAAAGTTTATAACATTAATAAGCAATTATAACTGAAATATATAAATCAAATCTTTAAAAGCCATGTATAAAAGACTTAAGGTCACATGAAAGTCACGATCTATTTTATAATTGACCCGTATATAATGGTAAAATCAAAATCCATAAACTAATGTTTTTTACAAACAACGTTTTTTAATGTTCTATTAGAAGCACAGCAAAACTTGGAACATTTTAGTTTTGTTTTGGTTGTAAAGCCTTACTAAAACTTACATCTCCACCAAAAATTGTGGCTGTACATCAATTTCTTTGGTAACGTCCTATTGACGAGACTACTTTTTCGAATCATGAACAAATAAAAAGACATAGCATACGACATTAATCTAGGTATGCCTGAAAGTTAGTTATCGTTCATTTGAAATCGGTCGATTATGGATTTAGTCGCACTGGCACGTTTGTTTCGTCGGGCGAACACGTTCAACGCACATTGAATGTTTTCGAACCGAGGTATTGTATCAAGAAAAAATGGATTTTACATACATACAAAAAATGAAGAGTATAGTGGTAAACATGTTTCATATTCAAAGAAATGCTTAAAAAGCAATTTAGTAAATAAAAAAGAATTAGGTACTATAAATTAGGAAAATATATACAAGTCTTCGCTTGATTTCAATAACAAAAGGATTATTTAGGACCATAAATAGCAGCTTCATGATTGATATTTTTCCAAAGGAAATAAAGCAACCTAAAGTCAATACCATACCAAACTCAAATAATCAAGTAATCTTTCAGGTCTACGAAATATATATCTATCGGACAGAAGTCAGGCAGTTAAGTTGGGTAGCTTTCTATCGGACTACAAACCCATCTCATCTGGTGTGCCTTAGGGAAGTCACCTTGGGCCTACATTATTTCTAATTTGCATAAACGACATTTCTTTTTGCTTTAAATTTTCCAAATTCCTGCTCTATGCGGATGATAATATAATATTTACCAGAGTCAGCTCTAGTCATGACTGCCTGAGGCTCCTTGATCGTCTGCATGATAACTGTCGCGTTAACAAACTTTATTTGAACTATGACAAATGCCAAAAAATAACGTTTACATGGAAAAGCTATCCTATTAATTGAAGGATCTTGGGACTATACTTGATGCCAAATTGAGATATCACCTTCACATCGAATTTATGGTGGCGAAAACCCTGCATAACTTAGGATTTGTTATCAGAATAAGTAGATATTTTACCAATTTTACAAGCATTAAATCGCTTTATATGGCATTTGTTAATAGTGTATTATCCTATGGTTCCATAGTGTGGAATCGGTTCAACGACGCTTTGCACGCTATTTGGCACATAAATTTCATCTACCTTACTGCGATTACGATAGGCGTTGCGTAGTCTTCAACTTATTGTCTCTGCAGTAACGTCAAATTGTTTCTGACTTGATCTTCCTTTTCAAGCTTGTTAATGGCATGCTGGATGCCCCCGGTCTTCTGCCTGAATTGAGCTTCAATGTACCACAACGGTTTACACGTTACATTTCGTCTTAATATAGCTAACACCAACCTTTATCAAAACTCGCCATTAGTTCGAATTCTTAATTGCTATGACCAGGGCTTCAACCATGTATCTCTCTTTGACGTTTCTTTACGAGAATGTGTACTAACTAACGTATAGCAGATGTTTTGTTGATCGCTTTATTGTTGTAATTATGTTAGTTTATGTTACAATATTTTTTTATGTTAATTTTTCGTTACTATGAGGATGCTTTGTTGGGGATATTCTCTATTAAAATAAATAAGTCTTCGACATTTAATGCTGAATCTTCTGCTGATGTTTTCCTGGATTTTCCAGTTTCTTGTTTGTCAAGTTTCCAGGTCGCCAAAATTTTGTTATCAGACTGGTTTATATTGCCTTCAAGCATTCATCTTGCTTGATTTATTTCATTGCTCGTTTTTAATATTTTGTATAGTTATTTTAAACGACTATCTTTCGTGACTTTAATTGCTATGTGCAAGGTATCTAATTTATTTTTTAATTCTTCTATGTTTTTTATTTTCCATTTTGGATTTGTACTCCTAGCAGATTTTTTAACTTTCTTCTCAGGGAACGCAGTTTGAAAGCATTTGAGAATATATTTGTGGAATATTGTAAAACAAATTTCCACGGTATTTGGTTTTGAGTATATGGGTGCCCAGTTGATGTCTTGTAATAATGTTTTAAATGTCAACATGTTTTTAGTGTTCATTTTTCTACATTTTATTTGCTTTTCTGTTTCAGAAGACAGTTGGAAAGTAGCAATCTGTGCCAAGTCATCTCCAAGATACAAGTTTATGGTATATGTTACAATAGGATGGGTATACCTGTCTGTGAATACATTGTCTACACAGCGTTTCCCATTAATTCTGGAAGGACTGTTAAAGATAGGACGTAATCAAAACTCGGACATTCCCGCCAGGAAGTCATCTTTTATAGTACTTTTTTCATTAATACAGATGTTATAATCTCCAATTCTTACATCGATGTGTTTGTTTTATGTGTGTTAGTGTGTTATATATACCATTTTTGTTACCGGTTGGAGGATGATAGGTACCAATTATTATGGTGCTAAATTTTGGTAGTGCTACAGAGCAGACTTCAAAACATCTTCCTGTGTTGTAAGTAGAGTAATGGAGATTTTTTTTTCTTTTACGATTATTTAATTATTATAACGCCTCCATGTGCATTAACTGTTGGTTCTCTACAGCTGTAAGCAGCAACTGAATAATTTTGGATGTAGACTGATTGGACTTCCGACTCCTTTAACCAATGTTCTGTTATGCATAGTATGTCATAGTCGGTTGGTTTTTGCAAGTTATACTGTAGACGATTGATTGTTGCTGAAAGGCCTTGTATATTTAAAAGATAGAGAATTGATACTTACAAGAATTTTCAAAATCGCTACAATAGTAACTATAGTGAACTGCACAATAATAAAAGATTGAGTGTCGTTTTCGTTTTGAAAAGGTATGCACAGAAAATGCGCCTTAAACCCACTCAAATCGAGTCCCGTTTCGTAGAAGTCGTCGAAAGTCGTCGGTTTAAGATCGAAAAATGGAATTTCCGGCAGACTTATGTCGATTTTCGAACGGGATCGACGGGTTATTAAATAATTTCCAAGCATTTGTTTACGACGAGTGTAGATTTAGCGGAAAAACTTCTTCGGTCGTAGAGAAAGAAATAGTGAAGGTAGTGGTAGAGAAACCGGTTTTTGGAGTCTCGTCGTTTTAAAGAGCTGAGCATACAAGAGACCAAGAGACGAAGGAAGGTAGGCGGAGTCGAGCGCTTGTTGATCGTATTGCGGTCTTTGTTTAACACATTGTGGTCCCTGTTTAGCACGTTGCGAAGGGGTACGTCGACTGCAGCGCCTGCTCTCGGCCGCTTGATAGAAACAAATTTAACCGCTCATTCTGTCTTCGGCTACGGTGTGTTACGGACATAACGTGCAAAGTTTCCAAAGTTCGTTTGCCGAGATCGCGTACTACGAGCTTTTTTTTAACGAACTAAGGACAAGATATTTTTTTTATATATATTAAAAAAAGGAAAATTTTATAGAACTTGTTAAGAAAAATAAGTTATCTGAAGTGGTGCTTTCATGAAATCTGAAAAAAAGTTTAACACTGATTGTGCTTTGAGTTAAACTTTGTGTGCAACCATAAACATTTTTTTTTAATTTTCGATTTTAAATTGGGTGGAATGAAAAATATGTAGAGGATTGCCATAATAATTTGAGTGCGTAGTGAATTTATAAAACAGGATTTAGTGAGAAAAACCCAACTTTTTTGATAAAAAAAAACAGGAATTATAATGACTTGTTAATAGTGATTTAGTTTTTTATCAGTTTGATTTCTGAGTGCCTTTTTTGGGATTTTTTTACTTATCTTGAGGACTATCATCATGGAACTTTACCTGCACAAAAGCTTTCTTCCGCTATTAATTCTTTCTTTAGGATTAGGTAAGTTCAAAAAAATTATTTAAATGTGCATAAAAATTAAAAATTAATCATCGTTTTTCAAAATAAAATTGTAATTATATTTTAAATATCAATTAAGGTGTTAATAACAATTCCATTGTTTCCATCGAATATCTCTTTTTAATTATAAAATAATTTACAAAAAAGTGATCATAAAGATTTATTTTTAATTAAAATTTGAAATCGCAAAAATTACTTAATAAATTAAATCATATAAATTCATGTTATCGAATAAATTCTTTGTGGATTTGATTTAAAAAGATTTCAATGGAAAAAAAACTTATTTAATAAAAATATCCATCAAAATGGGTATTTAATAAATCAAAATGATACATGGTGTTAAAATCGATCATTACTGATCTAGTTACTAAATAGAGCATTACAGATTTATGATAATATTTACGAATAAGTTAAAAACTTGGTTACACTCAATCCATAAAATCGAAGAACCAAAAAACATAACCGTCCTAGATAAATCCCATCGCAATGGTTAGAATCGTTCGATTTCACTCTTTTATTTTTCCTTTTTTTTCCTTCTCGTTTACTTCTTTCTTTAAAGCTATCGCGTTGAACCGAATCTCATGTTATCGGGGCAGTCAGACTTGATGGTTTCGGTTTTCAAGTTTTCAGAATTATCCTCCAGCTTGAACCTTTCTCATAGTACTGCGGTTTCGTAATAGAGAATATCGATTCTAAATTTTAAGTTTGGGATTGTTTTGAAAGTTGTTTTAGACCTCGAAACCTCCATCTCGAATACTGGAAACCTCTAAAACAGGAAAGATAAGAAACTTTCCGAGATCCTTTCGGCTTTTGGACAACGCCTCCAGATTTCGTGACATGATTCTATTGAACGTTACGTTTAGCCACGGTGCTTTTATTTCTCCCCAAGTCTTCTTACACGTCTTGACAAGGGGTGTTAGCTTCCGGTGTATCGAGGAAATATCAATGGACTAGAAAAATTTCTGTGACGTTTCGTGTATGTTCGATAACTTTGGACATTTTATTCTTGGAAAATCTATTTTTATCACGTCAAAATGATGGCGAAAAAAGGAGAAAAATAACGGGTATTGTTAACGTGAAAGTTTTTTAATAACAAAATGAAATTTATACGTTCCGTTTTATTGACAATGTAACAATAGATGACGTGTGTATTAAAAACAACGCGTAAAAAAATTAAACCTGGGGTTGTTTAAAAACCACCTCGTTTTTTTTTTATTAAATAAACTTGATAAAGTAAATAAAATAAAATCCTGGTGTATGCAAAAACATTTGGCGAATAAACATAAAACGGGTTTTAACTGGATGTAGATATGTATCATGGATTTACTTTATGAAAAAAAGATTCAATTCACTTTACCTAATTTTTTAAACTTATTAGGCTTGTGAACTATTATCAGATTAGAGATGTTTAAAATTGTTGAATATTTTAGCAATTTTTGTGCTTGTACAATACTTTTGTAGCTATATAGTTGTGAAAGAATCGATTTCAAAAAATCGTAGAATTATCTGAATCTCGCTAGATAAATTCTTTCTTGGTGTAAAAGAAGGTGATTGATGAGGTAAGATTGGATCGTTTACTGCGATTTTTTCTCTTCACTTTTTTGGATGGCTTTGAAAATTAAGCACAAAGGCGGAAAGTTGGAAGAACATAGCAAATTCAACAAATTTAAACTTAAATGAAGGAGATTTTCACAGATTAATTTGGTAACTTTATGCATTTGCTCTGTCAGAATTTCCACATCGTAACGAAAAAAATCTCTCCCCTATGCGTAACTTGTATTTCAAATGATCAAGTATTGTGTTGCTAACATTTACTTATACAACATTTGTGGTGTTTTAGAACTACCAATTCATAATATTTTGAAAGCGTTCATGCATTTAGCTACTATTTGGGCAATTTCTTTAATCCAGCTATCGTTGTAATAGATTTTGATGTAATCATTGTAATCATTATCTCAAACATTTTCCTATCAACGTGAATCACCAGGTAAAGATAAAACCCACACCTTTTCCTGGACAACAACTACTCTACTTTTTCTTCCCTTTGGTTTAGATCTGTTGAATTCTGATATTGCAGCCGAAGTGTGCCTTGTGATGTCGACTTCCAGCTGTCTGTCTTTCCATCTTCCTGGTGTTCAAGTCTCTTTTCATTCATTTTCTTTCTTCTTCTCCTTCCTATCTTCCCACATCTAGTATCTCACATCGTTTCCTGGTCTCTATATTTCCCACTCAGTCTCTTCTTGTTTTACTCAGGATAGTTCGCAACGTTTTCTTTCATTTCGGCAACGATCTCTTATAAGCATCCTGATAGAGATCTCACTTTATTGATGTAGTTTCTTAATTCTTTTGTTGAGTCAGAGATATTTTGCTGGAATTCAAGATATCGATATTCTTCGATGGGTGTCTCTTCTACCACAAGTTTGCATCTAATTGTTTTTTTTTGACAATTTCATGACTTTTGTTTTGCTGATAAATTAGACTTATTGCTTTACTTGACAAAATTTAAAGATCTATCTTTGCAGATTATTTCCCGTTTCTGCCATGACTGCATATCATGCTAACCTTATTCTTGTTAATTCTATAGCCTAAATACAACGACGACAATTTTATCCATTATCGGTTTAAATAGAAATCCGCGGGTCTAATTCCGCTTGGCGGCGAAATATTAGTGGTTGTGTGCCAGCGTGTTTTAATCTTTGTCATGTTACCTGTCATGTTTAGGATTTAAATTATTGGTCTATTTATTTTAAATCCTTGTGATCTTCTCTATTTTGAATTGGCGCTTTTAATTTCTCTATTGGAACATGTTTAAATAATTTCATTGTTGTATTTCTTCAGGTATTCATGATGAGTTCGTGATATAGTTGAGTAAAATCAATGTTAACGTGTTTACTTTTCTGTTAGAAGAAATGTTTTTTCTTTAAACGGTATTTATGATAACATTATATTGATGATATTATCTGATGGTGGTAATGGAATTTTCGCTATAAAGATTTTTTCAACCCAAATATTTTCAAAAATATGGCAAAGGCGTTGTAATGATGATCACGTTTTCTGTGGTAAAATCTTGTGGTAAAAATTTTTGTTTTTGGAGACAAACTTGTCAAAAGATGAAGTCTTTTAGGTCTCGCAAATTTCGTAGCGGATGCGTCTTCTTAGTAGAATAGAGTTGTTCCAGAATGTCAAAGTTTTGAAATGATTACAAAAAATGTTACACTCAGTCAGTAGTATATTCATTTTTTTACTGTATGTAATAATATACTCCAAGTATAACTTGAACACTGTATAGAACCACATTTATTTAGATCAGTATTTTCCTTTTTAGCAAACTTAATAAGGTACAACATAAAACGTATGAACAAGCTATTTTAATATTAGTACAAACAGTGCTAAAGATTATAAAATCCTTTTCTTTCTTCTGGCATGAGTTTACTATTCAACATATTTGTTTGGAGTTGAAAATAGCAATGGAACTGTTAATATTTGTCAAATCATGCAATATATATCAGTTCCATAAGTTGAACAGTCTGTATTAAGAAAGTTACGACAACACTCGAAACTTCTTAGATAAAACACCGAAAGCATTTCGCGCACGATTTAACCTATTATTAAACATCCTTTTATTTTCTCGGTTAACGAGCTTACTTTCATGGTACGGCTTTATAAGATTTTCTTTTAACGAGAATTATCTGCTGCTATACATCTGGCATCTCTTCCTATTTTACTGTATTGGCAGAAACAAGCTTAATCGTAGTTGTTATAAAAAAACCTCTGTGTATTTATTGCTCATCAGTTTAGTACCGCAAACTATTCTTCGGACAGACTCATAGCTGAATGTAGAAGTGAAAACTGATTAACAACATGTTCCTACACAATATTTAGAAATGGTATTTCTAATATAATTAACTTAATAGAAGTCTGAGACACTACTATTATAAAGGAAATGTCGCAAGAAGAAATAAAAGGCGGGCAAGCTGTAAGAAAATAAATCAAACCTTGAGACTTGGATAGAATTTATAAAACAGTATACGTTTACATAAGGTGAATAGCAAATTAGCTCGGATGACCTATATTATCTGAGACTCCAATAATAAATACTACAATTATGAAAATTGAAATTGTGGAAGAAAATGGTTAAATGGAGTTTTCTGACGGTTTGACGACACACTGTTCATAACGAATTCAAATTCCTAATTGTATTGGGATAAATTATTCCTGATTTGATTCTAAACAAGTTTTATTTCAAAAGTTTTTTGGTTAAAGCAATTTATTAAGATAATCTCAAAAATATTATTCTTTAAATCAACATATAGCGCCACCTGATAAAGATATCAAAACATTTTATTAATATAAAATGGATTTAAAGTAATATTTTAAACAAATATACGAAACAATTTTCGATAAAACCAGTAATATACAATGATATGTTTTAATATGCATTGAATTGACGTTTATTTCCCTATAGACACAGGGAAATGAAAATGCAATTAAACTAATATCCTGCGATGCCTATACAAAATTCAAATAACTTGTGTTAAGAAGAATTATTACTGACTTAATTTCAAAGAAATTTTAATTGAAAAACATCTTGATACAAACAATAATAAATTATAAAGATAACCTCAAGCATATTTATACATACTTATATATATACAATTTAAACCCTTCTTTGAAGAAAACCTGAAACCCAATAGACTTATTGAAAGATCTCGTTTCTACCTATTGTTTTCCCCTTATCAATAATAGCTGTTTGTAACGTTCTGTGAATACGCTCTAAAGGGGGATTGTTCTAAACATGATATGAATTTGTTTTGAACGTTTGAATTCCGAGAATCTAGAATAGATTCAAATTGTCTGCTACGATCATATGTGTTACAAGAAATAGCAAGCACATATATAGGTTATTTTTACAACATGGAATAACAAAAAAGATTTAAATTTAATGGCAAGGAAATGATTTTTTAGCAACTATATTACACATA